GAGTTTGACTTGTGTTGGGAGACAAAATTTCATGCAATGTTACTCTCTTGCTGTGCAGGGCTGCAGGGTTGATCGCTGCCAGCCTTATAATGTGTCAGCTTACATTCAAGAAAAGCTGTAAACAACTGTATTCAAAAGAAAAAAAAGAAGCAGCAGCAAAACAAAATGCCACTTGCCTTTTGAAATTTGGTATTTTCTTAATATACTTTGAAAAAAACATATCAATATCAATTCAGTATCACATCATATAAAATGAAGGAACATGTCACAGCAAACCAATGAAAAAACAAGCTAGTAAAATATTTCTTCAAAATACGTTTCTTTTTCAATGCTTTTCTTATTAAGGTAACAGTTTCCTTGGGAAAAAAGGCCAATGATAATAAAAAAGGTGTTTGCTAAACTTCTGGGAAAAAAATGTACCTAAACCTGCCTTCCTTTTGATGGCATATATAATTAAGAACAGCAAAGGCAGGGTATTGACAGGAGACTCATTAGAAAAGAAATATGATTAAACCCAAGATTTATTGAAAATGATTTAAACTTCAGGAAGCTATCTTTAGTGTGTGCAAATTAAGGTCTGCTGTTCTGGTGAATTGACAGGACTGTACCATGCAGCAGAAACACAGAGGCAGAATTCAAAATAGTATCTACCACTGCTCATTCTCACTCTCATTATAACATGGCCTGAAGCATAGGGGACAACTTCTATATTTCTTGTATTTTATTTCTTCTCAGACCATAACGAGCTTTGTAGATTTGTGCTGTAATGAAAGTGTTTGAAATTGATTTGACTGCTACTGTTAAAAAAGTCCCAGATCAAAGAATTCAGCATCCACCCAAAATGGGCTTAAAATGCTTTTTTTAAAATGTCTTTGAGTAAGAAATATAACGCCCATCAGGCCCATTGATCCCATCATGTTTATTGTGGCTAACTGTAAATCATTCACAAACTATCAGATGGTGCTGGATGAGTTTGAGAATCATTATTTTGAGGAGTATTCTGAGTTCTGATTTAATTTCAATCTCATTCCACAATATTTTTACATTTCTTCTATCACAGTCATGGGCACCCTCCCATGCTAATTTGCAAAATGAATTTTACTGAATACCATCTAATCTTATTGCCATAGTTACAACCAAGAAATCAAAGATTGCTACTCTGAGCTGAAAATAACTGACTTGGTATAAAGAAAGGGACTGATTCTTATGCAAACCACTGTACTCAAATACAATTTCTTATTCAAAGAACAATGGAAAGTTTGATCTGTGGAAGCAGTGACTTCTATCGTATTTTCATTTTAGCAGTGATCTGCAAAAAAGATAGAATGAAATGCATAAAGATGATGGGACAAATAGAGCACTAGGTCCAAATTGTTGTCATATGTGTTATTTGCTGATAGGAAAAAGAAAATCAGTGGCATAAGTACTTTTTTTGTTAAAGCCCACAGTTGTTAACAACAAAACTCCTGCTGGCTGGAGCAACAGTCACAAAATCTTTCCCTCAACTCTACTCCGGAACATACTTTAGAGAAGCAGCAGGAAGGGTCTGTTTGAAGCCAGGGCTTTTGGCATTTGAGCTCTTGCTGTTTCTGTGCTATCTCTTTATACTTTCAGATAGCATAGACTTTTTTTTTTTGTTATGAACAGAAGATGCAAAACTTTTATCACTTATTATTCCAAATACCCTTGACTCAAATGGGGGAGTTGCTAGAGATATATGGAGAAAATGGTCTGTATCTCTGTCATTTGTCCTTTGTGCAAGGACTTTCTGAAGAGATATTTCTGTGGTTATCCCTGGGCACAGAGGAAGAATCTTGTGCTTGGGGGAGTAGCTTATAGGAGAGTAGCAACTTCTGAATCTACCCTAGACCCTCTCACCCCAAATCTATAAGACACAGCAGTCATAAATAAGCCTTATTACTTTCTTCTATGCCAATAAAGTAAACATATGGTGGGGGAAGAATATATAGTGAAAGAAAACAGAGGGGAGAAGAGAGGATTTAAGAAAGAAAAATGCATAGAAGAGAATCAAGTTTATCTCAAAGAAAAAAAAAAGAGAGAAGAGAGGGAGACATCATAAAGAGATACTATAGTGATACTAAAACCCAAATAGTAACAAGCAGCTGAAGGCAATCTGCGTTTTCAGAAAAAGAGGGGGAGTGTGTAATAAACATACAGACAGAGTAATAATGAAAAAGAAACCTCAACTCACCCAACAGTCAGAAGAAGGAAAATAGACTTCAAATTGTCCCTACAGAGTTAGAATTTAAAATCTATCAACATTGCCATATGTGGGATGCTATGCTTTTCTTTCCGAGTGAAAGGAATCTCATTTCGTTGAATGAAATAATCTGAAAAATATAGAGTTATGAGTTCTAATATGCTGCTTTACTCATGAAAGGAAAAGAAAATTTTACACTTCATCATGAAAACATGGAAAGCTGGAGGAATACAAGCCTTCCAAAAGCACATTGCCTCACAAAGTCAAGCTCTACCTATTGCAATTTTGGTCTTCCACAATACTTCTGGTCTCTCCAATACTCTTTTGTCCCACTCCTTTCTATTTTTTTCCTAGACCAACACTAATCCTCTCAATGTTTCACAAACATGGCAGCTGAAAAGGAAGAAATATTTAAGTTGTGGTTTTAAACATAGCTTCATGCCACATATTTTAGAAGGGTATGCACAGCTTATGCATTTATTTAAATAATATTTTTGAACAAAAAATAGTTAATTCAGCATCTCTCCCATGCAGAACTGTCTAATATACCTCTTGCTTCAGTTTTCTGTAACATGAGATGTTCAACAACTAGCTGTCCTCAGAGAATTAACAGTAATCATGACTGCAGTCATTCAGCATTTAGGTAGTTGCTCTGCACATATTCCCAGTGTAAAATGATACAATTCAATGAAATGTTGACCTCAACTACCCAGACCCATCCCCACAAGAAGCAGTTAAATTAAAACTTTCCATTTGTTAGAAAACTTATTTTTTGTGCATGAGTAACACTCCTGCATGTGCATGAGTAATACTCCTTCCAGTGTAGAAGACTGGAATAAAGGGGGAGTGATGTGTCTGTCCCAACTCCAACAGCCAGACAGTTGTGGAGCCACACAAGGATTGTTGGTAATAACACTTTGTGACAAAGAACAGGATGTGGCTGGAGAAGGGGTTATATGGAGGTAGGGCAGCATTTTTCTGGGACCAATATCCTTGTTCTGGATCTTGGACAAAAGCAGAACACAGTACAGTGCAAGTGCAGGAATGAAGTCAAGAAGTGAGAATGGGCTGTTGGTCACAGGCTGACATACTTAGGGGGGATAAAGACCACTAAAGACTCCCAAAGCGCTCTAAACTATTTCCATACAGGTTTAGAAGAATGTACTGCTTATCATCACTGATTTGCATACAAAGCAAGAAACTTATCTCCAGGATGATGAAAACTTGTTTGTAAAAAAGCACCCACATGAAGCCCAGGCATGTGTGCAGCTCAGGACTCTGGACACGTACTCAGTTGGATTGATATTTCTTCCTTTCTTTCTCTTCCCCATCTTTAATTAATTTCCCTCTTCCATTTTGCCCTACCCCTTTATCCAAACCCCACTGTCATATGGTTATATAGGAGGCCAAGGTCTGAGTTATACCAATTTCTATGATAGATGTGTTACTTGCTAATAAAACTTTATAAGCTTTTGAAGATCCACTGACTTTTGTTGCTCCTTTTAACAGCGAGCGTCTCTGAATCTTGGGCACTCCCTTCCCCTTAAGGGTGCAATAGAACTCAGAGAAAATGATCAGAATGTTTTGAGCAAATATTAAGAACTGTGAGAGCAAATATCTCCTCAAACACTTTTTCTGGAGCTACTGTTCTCTGGAAAAACTTAAACCTTTGTAGAGAATACTTGTATTAGCACAGAGGACAAGTACTAGTACCTTCTCAGTAGTGTTGGTAGAAGTTATACTTGCATGTCCTGGAAGAAATACAAAATAGGTCTCCTGGTCCAGATGTCACTTTGCTCCTCTCTTATGTGTTTTGGCCTGGACTGTCTACTGCCATTAGTGCCCTGGAAGGAGAAAGTAAATCCCCTGCCCCTCTCCAGTTATTCTATCCCCTCTGGCAGTAGCTCTCTTCGCGAAAAAAGGATTCTTCAAGGGCTTAGAAATGAGATGCCTGGATTCTCAGCTGACATTCATTGCTCAAAACAACAGATATGTGATGTCATTGGCCAGATAGGATTGGGGCAGTCCTCTGGAGATCCAGTCTCTCCTCCAAGTAGAGCCAACTACAAAGATGTTAGATTGTGCTTGTTATTCTGTTGTTTCCATGAAATGTTTGCAGGCCCCTGGCAGGTAGGGTATGGACTTTATTTAAATGTTTGTTCAAGGGTTTTGTTGAAGAGTTTGGTTGATTGAAAATTCTTTAGAATACAATATTACTGAATCCAGTTCTTGCCTGCTGTCTGCTGTTCTGATACTTGTGTTTGCTTAAAGGAAAACCACTTCAGTGAATGTTAGTTTTTGTGGCTTCCTGTGTAAACCAACTGGAAATTTTTGTCTAGGAAACCATTAACCTAAGAGAATCACTTCGTGGTCTGGGAGTAATAGCCAATATTTTCAATATTACAGACATTTAAGACCCTCTTGAAATTTTGTGTACATGAGTTTCTGTGTAGGACTTTTCAGCACACTGACAATAAAAAACTGTTAAACAGTACTATGTGCCAAGAACCTCAAGACATTATGCGTAATTGCAATTTTGCTCAAGGAGTTTCACTCAGCAGAAACAGGTTTGTGGTACAAAGTGAACAAATGATGATCATTTCACTGTTTCAGTAGCAATACTTGTGCTCCACGTAGTTTATCTAAAAAATTTCATCTCCGTTTTTGCTAAGGTCCAATACAAACAAGCATTTGTGTAAGGATACAATAATAAGAAGAAGCTTCAGGATGATTCTGGCAATAAACACTGTGTCATACTACTTTTCTTTCTCTTTTTTAGGTGAACTGGACATCAATCCATTCTCCCTGGCTCATCTGCTGTGGTGCTAACTTAGATAATGTACTGGTGAGACAGCTGTCATTTTATGTAAATGCATTTTGCATCCAGTCATTCTTCTTACTCATTTCAGGGAAGCACTACAGAAAGTGACACTGGGTTATAAAAATGTTTTTTATATTATACTTTTTATATAATCAAATGTCAACCTGTTTTCAGTTCAAAGATTGCCAAAATTTCTGCATGTGTCAGAGGTATTTTCTCTTACCTAATGAAGAAGTTCCTGGTAAATGGCTGAGTTTTGAAATAGGTATGTTCTTTCTTTTCCTTCTGAAATTGAGGTTATTAAACAAGAAAAAAATATCAGAGGCTAGTGAGCTGACAAAATTAAGGTCAATTTCTGGTTGAATTTCAAGATGACATGACAATCTAGGAAGAGAAGGAAGATAACATTCATAAGATCTACTAGAATAGGCAATTATTTTGCCTACAGAAATACTGACAAATCAACAAGAATTTTGGGAGATAGTTGTGGCTCCATGAATACCTGATGTTTGTTGAGTCTTTTGAAAATTCTTTCTTCTTCTTATTAAAAGAAATTATTTTGTATTTCAGAAGGAAGGATAAAAGTAAGCTTCAGGAGACTTTTTCTCTCATTATGTGACACCTTACCTGGGGATGCTTGTAGGTCTTGTAGGTCTCCTGAATCCCTTCAAAGTACTCAGACTATCATTTGTTTGTTAATTATATCATGAAAACAGTGAACTACTTCGAGAAGATTTTTCAATTAATCTAATTTTTCACGTATTTCTTCCTCAGGTGTTCACTGGATTTTAATTTAAATAAATAAATAAATAAATAAGGCTACTTCGGTTCTCAAATAAGTGCCTGTGGAAGGCTCTTCTATAGGGCAGCACATCTTCTCAAGAAGTTGCATACACAAAATGTTTTAAAGAGATGATATAACTGGTTTCCAGTTAAATTTTAATATTTCTATTCATACTACATATTTCTGCCCTCATAGATAGTTAATGCTTGCTTTTCAAAGTTGTTTTCAAGTTTTCAAACTTTTATTTAGTTGCCACTAGTCAAACATAGTAATCTTATCTATCTTCTGTCAATCAAAACTTTCCAAATACTTTTCTTGTGACTGAATTGTAGATATAAATCTGTTTCAAAGATTCAGCTTCTTTGAATCTGCAACAATAGTGCCAATACACCTGTTGGAATATCTCCAGATGGTAAATGCTAAAGAAACTAAAGAACCTTAATCAGGTTGATGTGCCTTTTATTTTTTTTTTAATGAATATGAATATTTGCTGTCTGAAATGGTGTGAGTAATCTGAGGTTTGCTGAACATCTTCTATACCACCCATTCTGTTCAAGTCATGTCAAGTACACCATGGCACTGCTGTAGATATTAATGACATAGCACTATAAAAAATGTTTCTAAGTACTTTCAATTCTCCGTGATACAGTAATTAAGAGTTTTGAGAAAAGATGAACAGATGTGTTGGGCACTTACCCCGATAACCAAAGAAGAAAAATTGCTTTTGATTTATATAGGTATTGGATGAGACCTTTAATAAATGCCAATGGAAAATGAATAGCAGCTAAGTCTATTAAGATTTGCTTTGCCTTCTTTATATACTCAAAAGGAGATTTTCTTCTTCCAGCAACAGAAATCCAGGCTTATGTGTAAAGTTAGGCACAGGCAGCCCAGACAGTACTATGCTGCCACATGTAGGGACTTCAACAGATGAATATAGTGTTGCCAAAAACATACATCTGCCCAAACTGAGAAAGCATGTTAAATACATCCACAGCACTGGTTAGAAGGATTCTGTGTTGAAACAGCATTTCACAGGACAATGGAAAGTGAGAAGTAATTTCATGAAGCCACTTCTACTTGCAGTAACTTATCCTAGCTCTGCTGCTGTATTACCTACTTCCTGTAAACATGTGTTTACTGCAGTCTTTCCACAGTGAAAGAGAAAGGTCACACAAGGCACTGAACACCTTTTATCCTATTAGTTCTTCTGTGAAGATGCAGCAAAGAAAACTGGATCAAAAGTACATGGGCATGAGTGTTTGAAGGGTGCAAGGTGAACTTGGGAGAGAGCAGGTGTTGGCTGTACCAAGCACCTTAGAAACCTGTGTTTGGGCAATTGACATCTTCCTGTAGTATGAAATACATGGACATTTTTCAGGATTTTGTATTACTTTATTACTTTACTCAGAAGAGACTATCTGAACCACAGAGTGACTTCAAAGTGGTGACAAAATTTTGAAAGAGACCTCAATCCTCAAGATTTTAGTCAGTCTCTATTAAGAGAGATCAAGGGATAGTTTATTCAGCTTTGTCCAAAACTTACTCTGGTGCATCTAACATTTATCATCACCAACAGGAGACATACACAGTTAGAGGGACCTTGGGGCTGATTTGATATGACAAATGGTGTCCTTTTATGTATCTCTACTGAATAAGAAGTTAGGTGAAAAAAGAAAGATACCATGTCTGTAAGAGAGCTAAATGAAAACCAAAATTAAAAAATCATTCTTCAATGACTCCTTTTCATTTCCAAGGGAATTTAACTCAACTATGTTTATAATTTTGCGTATCTTACACACATACTGAAACATTTGTGAGAAATCTAAGTACATTTACAAAAAAAAAAAGTCAATTATCATCTCTGTTTTGCTTTGAAATATACTTATGCACTGGATTGAGACAATAAAATCACACTTTTTATAGAGTAAACAAACTAATTTCTGACAGAGAAATGAAGATAAGAAAGTATTCACAGGGGTAAATATTAAAATCCATATAGAGATTTACTGATAATTATACAAAAAAATAATACTGATAATAATACAATTAACGTGATAAAGGCTGCCATTTACTTTCAGTAAAAGTTCTTTTCAACAATTCTTCTGGATGCTGAAGAACTTTTTGCTTGAAAATATACATTCCAGATGGCTGTAATGGTCAAAAAGATGTTAGATACTCAAGGTGTTCATATGCATGTTCCCTATTTAGATAAAAGAAAGAGTGTCGATACTGACTTGTCCTATCATTTTATTGGAAATAAAAGGGTGTAAACTCAGAACAGTTAGCTGTGCATAATCAGTACCCTTTGCCTTTTGGTGACTATTTATACATCTTGAGCACTGTGTAAGCAAGTCACGCAGGTAGTGAAATACACTGGAAGACAATGTCACAAAGGGACTGTCACTAATAGATGAAGGTGGGTAAGGTTTTGTATAATACTGGGACAGTGGTTAAAACAATCATTTGTTGTTTCTCTGATGACTTGATGGTTATGTTGAAGAAATGAAAGAAGTCGTGTGCCACTTGGATAAGTGCTTTGGTAGCTAATTCACCCAAAGAAAAAAGCACTTTGTTGTCAGATGAGGTAAATACTTTACTGACCAGTGGAGGTGCAAGCAGGATATTGATGATAGCAGTGAGGTGCTCCTGGGAAAGTTTGATAGGCAAATAGTGGTTTTTTTTTCTGTTACCATATGATTCATGAGCTTGTCTCATTAGGAGGAAACTGGTTTAAGCTTCAATAATAATTGTCTTTTAGAAATCCTGATGAGTGATCCAAGTGTCAGAAGGTATCTTGTCTCTCTTAAGCATTACAATACCTTTGTAGTGTAGAGATTAGGAAATCAAGTCCTTTCCATTTCTCTAGCATGGGTATTTAGTTCTGTATTTCTTGTGCTTTCTACAGTAAAGAATTTGATGCACCATGATATGAGGAATGACCCTTTAGTCTCCTTCCCCATTTTGTTCTTGGGCTGAGCTGCTCAAATATAGTTTTGTATGTTGATGAGCTCATGGGTTTGATGACTTAAAGAAGGGAAAAAAAGGGAATGGGCTGATGAACATGATTATAATATAAAGTCAAGAGATACAATTTAATTTAAAGGTTCCATCACTACAGATTCTTGGGAAATACTGCTGTTCATAATGAATTTGCTTAGTATTCATGGGATGTGACATACATTTCCATAGATTATGCCTTTCTGCGATATAGCCTCACTTAAACCTTGGCTATTCCTACTGAGTGAATTTAAGTAAACAGTTTTATCAAATAGTGAATTCCATCTATTGCCAAGTGTTCAGATACAATTGTTATGCTTGACTGACCAGATTTTTATCTCTTCTCTGCCACAGTAGTGACTGACCTCCTGCATAAACATGGGTAATTTATTTTGGGATTACAGCTAATCAGGAGGCTTCTGCACTCTACTTCTCCTTTATTTTCATACTTCCCCAAACGTTTTTCTTAGATATTTTCTGTGTATTAAAAATTATGAGGAAATATAAGACCAGTGTTTATGGAGTCTTTGTGAGCATCATTAAATAGTGTATTTACGAAGGTGTTTTTCCTCCCTGATTTCTGCCCAATGCTACCAGGATTCTGCAGTACATCGCTGGTTCATTGGAAAAACATTACTTGGAAAGCTCTTACAGCATCTTACAGCAAGTCATGCTAGTCACACTAAGGTAATTCTAACTGTTGCCTGAGATCTTGTACCTTTCATCTTTCCTTTTCCTTTTTCCCTTTTTTCCTTTTTCCCCTTTTTTCCTTTTTTCCCTTTTTTCCTTTTTTCCCTTTTTTCCTTTTTTCCTTTTTCCCTTTTCCTTTTCCTTTTCATTTTCCTTTCTTACTTTCCTTTTCTCCTTTAAAAGTTATATATTTGTAGGTGGCTCATACACTAAGATTGAGTGCACTCTTTCAGAAGTCACATCATTTTTTTCTCCCTTGATAAATTTTTCTTTTCTGGAAAGCTGTAAGATCCCACAATTTCACGAAGAACATTTGAGTGAGAGACAGAGGTACACAAGAAGACTAATAGGAGAAAAATGGATAAAGTAATTGTAAATGGTCTACTATGCACAAACCTGTTTAGCTGTGCAAGGACTGGGGAATATTTTCTTCCAAAAGCAACCCAATGCTTTTATTTGCAGTGTACTTACAGACAGGAAGTTTAAATATATAACTTAATGTCTTCATTCTCTGAGGAATTCTTAAAAAAGAGCTCTTCTTCTGTGATTG